CATCCTAGTCATGATTCACTAATCTGCTTAATTTGAACCCAGCTGCTAGCATCTTGCAGTGGAGGCTACATCCTATTTACTTAAGACCATTTACATTAAGTCAGAGATTTGGCTTGTCCCCTGAGTGGCCACTTAAAGCAGGTTTAATTGTGTGGGAAAATAGACTCATTAACGTCAAATGGAAAGTAAGGCCAATTAAAATGTATAACAAGTTATTACCCATCTTTTAATAAGGATTTAATTACAAGATCTGCTAGAACAAATTGACTGGTTATGTATAATTTTGAACTTGAAAAAAGAACCAATGTACCTAAGAGTGGTGAATATAAACTATGAAGGGACTTGGTCTGAAATAATAGTCATGGGAAAATATGTGTGCATGCCAGAGGCAGAGACATTGAACCAGATTCACAGGTTGAAGTTATTCTGAGATACCCACCTCTGTTCAGACATTTCACAACCTACTAGTTCTGAAATATCAATCCTAAAGACACAGACAGGTATACAAAAAAAGGTAGAAATTTAGTTTCACAAAATTTGCATTTGAGGGAGCCCTTCTTTTCCCGTATCAAGGGACTGGACTCACCTATAGCCACAGATATCAGCTGGTGGTGGGCATGCTTCATTTCCAATGTCTCACCACCCTCACAGTATAGAACTTCTTCCTAATATCTAGTCTAAATCTACCCTTTTCCAGTTTAAAGCCATTTCCAATCACCCTGTCACTACATGCCTTTATAAAAAGTCCTTCCCCAGCTTTTCTGTAGACCCCCTTCAGATACTGGAAGAATGCTATAGGGTCTCCTTGAAGCTTTCTCTTCTCCAGGCTGAAAAGCCCCAGCTCTCAGCCTGTCCTTGTAGAGGAGGTGCTCCAGCCCTCTGATTATCTCTGTGGCCCTCCTCTGGACTTGCTCCAACACCTTAGTGTTGTCAATGACATGAAATTGCATGGCTCGATGGAAGAAATTATGCTTCGTCCACATAGAACTTTGTGCTATCTGCTACCAAAGCAGTCCCTGAGTAGCTGCAAAATTTGTCCCCAGAATATCCTGAGGAACTAAGATATTTCCTTTTTCAATCCTCCTCTTGGTCTCTGATTGACTTTTCATGATGTGCTTGACTTGAGCAGCTTCCCACATTTGCCTCTATCAGTTTTGCCTGGATATCAGGAAGAATTTCTTCAACAAAATGATGGTTAGGAATGAGATGCTAAGGGAGGTGATGGAGTTGTCAAACCCAGAGGAATTTAGAAGGTGTGGATTTGGTGTCTAAGGACAGAACTTAGCTGTGGACTTTTAGTGTTGTGTGACTGACTAGACTTAATGATATTAAAGGTCTTTTCCAACCTAAATGATTCTATGTTTCTATGATTCTGTCTGAAAATAAGTTATACGTTAGGTGGTGAGATCTCTTGCTGGATCCATCACAGTTCCAGCCTTGAGGGTGTCATATAAAAACCTTATGCGATGAAGCAGAAATACATGGTTATATTGAATAGGAAGCAATTATATTGAGTAGGTATCTGGGGGTTATATTGTTTAGGATCCAATATCATCCAAACCTGCTGCTAGTTGTACTGTCTCTGAGGGCTGCACAACTGCACCTAGCTTGGAAATCATAAAAAGGACAAAAAAGCAGGTGCCCAATGGCAGCCGGTGACTCAGCTTACCTCAGCATGATCTAGATCAGCTCATAGGTGTTTCTGGAAGCCGAGGCCAACTGGTGACTCGTCTCCATCTATTTTAGGACTTCCTTTGTAGTCTTCAATATAGGCTTATATCCTGCTTATTAGGAATGGTCCCTGATTGCCAAACAGGGTTTGGGAATTGTCCACATCAATCAGATGGCATTAGACGTATTCTATCTTCCCTCTGTTGGACAATCATAGCAAGGGCCTAATCTTTCTTGAACTTGGGAATTCAGACAGAGCTCTAAGCACTTTGTAGGATCCAGAGGTACTCTTACACCTTGTGGACCACCCCATGGTGATCCAAGTCCTCCAGGAGATCTCAGCAACCCAGGATGTTGCTATCCTGAGCCCTTCCATCAGCCTGCAAGGCTTGAGATCCAAATGACCATCCTACAGATCTCCCTGACAGAATCAGTCAGAACCATAGTCAAAACTTAACACATCTGTATGGGTTGTTCCTTTATACTGAAAGGAGATATCTCTGTTTCTTACTGAATCTGTGGGAATTCAGTTCCCAGCTCTTCTTGCTTCCGGCCTGATCTGCTTGTCCAGTCCCAACAAATCAGCAGAAGTTGAATTCTGAATCCTTAATAAATGCAGCAAACAACTCCTAAATGAGTTGCAGGGCACTAATCATCTACTGAAATTATTAGATCAGAGAATCTCTCTTTTCATGGATAAAAAATGAATTAAATTAGCGAAATAAATTATTTGTTATAATTCATTCTGCTGTTTGCTGCTGTGCAATAAGTCTGACAAAAAATAATTTCAAGTAAGAATGTCTCACTCTTCGCTAATAAGAAACAAAATCTTAATATGTGGTGATTTTCCCTGACCCTCTTTCTGGATCATTTACATTTGTCCAAGTGGATTTAAAATGCAATCAGATCGCTGATATTTGACAGTCAGGCTGAAAGGTGTAAAGATCTCTGAAAAGGTGCAAGACAGGAGAGTAAAGCACCAGGATTTTAGCAGCTGCGTAAGTAGAGTCTTCATAAGGACCAATCTGGCATTTCAAAAATAGTTTCTTTCCAACCTTTTGAGAATGTGCTGAAATTTCTCATTTGAGAGGAACTGATTTCACCTTTCAAACTGAACAATGCATATACTAATTTGCAGGAATGTTTTCTGCAAAATTACAGGGAGAACAGACTTTTTGGAAGTGAAGGTGGTGCTTTTGGGTCAGTGTTGTTGGACTGATACCGTGATTTGGTGTCGCAACCTGGAGAAGAACCAAGAGATCACTGCAATGAATCATGGATCACAGAGAGTAGGTGTCTGAGGCAGTCAGATCTGGGGTTGAGAACCCAGAAACCTGTTTCTTCACACTAATTCAGCCTGTCAGCATTTCAAAGTTAACTATCCTGGGTCCCAAATTTATTTTGAACAAATTGGCAGTCCGTAACCTCATCCGCATCTGTCATCTGTGCAATCATGTCAGTGGTATTGGCTTCTTAAAATTTATTTTGCTACAGTCTAGATAACCATTCACGGCAGCGGGGAAGGAAATCTCATTTCAGTGTGTGATTAGCTGGGTAAATATTTATTGCTGAGCCTCTAATTTTTTTTCCAGATCTACTAGATATTTCTCTTGACTCAAAAAGTTTGCAAGTCTCAGTAAATATATATGTGGAACAAAATTCAAGTTACATCTCGTGTTACTTCTACCTTATGTCATACCCTTGGGAACACGAGAGGTGACAATGACCTTCAGAGACTAATGGTGTGGCTCAGGTGCAGGCTGATGGGTATTATAATTTCCTAGGCTGCCACTTGAATAAGGTGTTCAAACCCTGCAGTATTACTCCTTGCCCTCTGCCATTCTGCAGCATGGATATGAGTGATCCAACCCAGGCATTCAAAGAAGGTGATAGAGCTGTGGTTCATGCACGTCTTATTCCTCCCTAGTAACTGGGTGTTGCATTTCCTGAGTGACAAGAACAGAGCAGCAAGAATCCACTTCCACTTGGCTTTAGGCTTTGCTCTATGAACTGGTGCACAGATGTGTGAAAGACAAAGGACTGTGTTCCTCTGCTTCACAGGTTTCTTGAATCCATCTTTTCCTTAGCGAGTTTTCACTCTCCTTCCTCGTGTGAGATCTCAGGGACAAGGAAGGTCATTGCAAAATCTGAAAGGGCCTGGAGCAGCGATGTAAATCCTGGCCTGAGCTTCCCTGGGAGTCATAACCAATCTCCATGGTACCGTAAATACTGAGGCCATGTGCACACTCCATGCCAAAATGAGGCCTGGTGCACAACCTCTCATTCATCCCCCATCAAGGTGCAAGGTGTGTCCTGGATTACCCATCACTGAGTGACATGATCACAGTGAGCACGTCAAAGCCCTCTTCCTTGTCCCAGCGTCAACATGAGTCTGGAGAGGCAAGCTGTCGCTTGATTTGCCTCTCTGCTCCCCTTCACTTACCAGTTTTCAGAGGACAGTGAATGGGAAGAGCTCAGAAGTTACTGAGGGGGAAATGCTCACAGAGTATAGGGAAAGTCTGATTCTACAACTACAGTGAAAGCTTTGTGGTCTCCATTTGACTATAACATGGGTACAAATTGGGGGCAGGCTGAGAGAGCTGGGGCTGTTCAGTGTGGAGAATAGAAGGCTCCAGGGAGACCTGAGAGCAGCCTTTCAGTATCTGTAAAAGAGAAGGAACAGACTCTTAGCAGAGTCTGTGGTGACAGGACAAAGGGAAACGTCTCCAAACTAAAGGAGTGGAGATTTAGATTGGATATAAGGAAGAAATTTTTACAAAAAGGGTGGTGAGGCACTGCACAGGTTGCCCAGGGAGGCAGTTAGTTGATGCCCCATCCCTGAAGACACTCAAGGTTGGGCTGGATGGAGCTTTGAGCACCTGATGGATCTTTGGGTGTCCCAGTTTGTCGCAGGGAGTTGGGCTGGATGACTTTTAAGGGTCCCTTCCAACTCAAACAATTCTCTGATTTTACGAAGCCAACAGTAACTCAAAATCCTGTCAGGGAATCACTCTTCATTTGCACCAGAGCAAGATTTACATTGGGTCTTTATTTCAAAACACCTTTTTTTTTTTTCTTTTTTTTTTTTCCTCTCTTTTTTTTTCCTCTGACTTTTACCATCAGAAGAGACTGTTTTTCTCTGCATTTCTCATAGAAGCACTGTACTGCAGCTCTGAATTCCTTTATAGATTATCGGGTATTGTGTTTAATATACGTAAAAAAATATCACTCAGGTGCACGGCAGCTTGGAAAGCCTTCCTCTTGCAGGCGTGCGGGTATATAAATAGCCGGGTGCTGCTGCAGCTGGTGCTTTGCTGGGTTTCGCCAGAAGAGGGTAGGGCTGGGAAAGGAGCTCAGCCCCGTTGTGTTGGGAAACAGCGACGGGAAAACAAGCCCAAGTTTCTGCTCTGCGCGCTCGCACCGACCGTGTGCGGGAGTCAGCGCGGAAACTCGGGAGGACCTCAAAGTAAAAAGAGAACGGAAAGAAAAAGCCCAATCAAAAAGCATCTTTCTAGGGAAACATCGAAGAGGGAAACGGCAACAGTTTTCTGCGGGCTCACCCTCCCCGAGAACTGTCAGCCACTTTGCAGTAAGCAGAGCACAGGATTTATTTCTCGGCCGTGACTTCCAACCTGTGAATAAATAGCACTTTAGAGAGAGAATGGGACCCGAAAAGACTCTCAAGCACTGAGCAGAGGGGTGAGTTTTATTGAATGGCTTCTTCTCTTTCCGATCCGCTGGAGCTTTCTAACCTCCTGCTTTCAGGCACGGCAGCCCAATGACTTGTCTTTTCACTGCAGCTTGTTGCATCCCTCACCAGGCTTTCCTGAGCGCAGGTCTGTGTCCGTAGCCTTTTCCCCCGCCGCTCCAGGTCATTCATTTGCAGCAGAGCTGATTTGCTGCCGATTTGCTTTCATGAGAAATTAAATCCACAAGTCTTTGAAACCGAACGGCAGCCTAAAAATCAGCTAGAATCCAACACCGTTTAAAATGGCAGGTGACTTTAGGTTTCCAGATGTGGACACTGACGTAACAGAGAAAAACGAAGAAACTGAGATCGTAGTCAATGTCGGTGGGGTGAGGCAGGTGTTCTACAGTGATAACCTGAACCAGTACCCAGGAACACGGCTGGCAGAGTTGCTCAACTGCCTGTCGGGGGGATACGACAGCATATTCTCCCTCTGTGATGACTACGATCCTGGAAAGAGAGAGTTTTACTTTGACAGAGATCCAGATGCTTTCAAATGCATTATTGATGTGTACTACTTTGGGGAAATTCACATGAAGAAAGGAATATGCCCCATCTGTTTCAAGAATGAGATGGAATTTTGGAAAGTGGATCTTAAATTTTTGGATGACTGCTGCAAAACTCATCTGAGTGAGAAAAAGGAGGAACTGGAGGAAATAGCCCGAAGGGTGCAACTGATCCTGGATGACTTGGGAGTGGATGCCTCCGAAAGCCGCTGGAAAAGATGTCAAAAGTACATCTGGAAGTTCTTGGAGAAGCCAGAATCGTCCTACCCAGCTCGAGTGATTGCCGTTCTGTCTTTCCTGTTCATTTTGATCTCCTCAGTTGTGATGTGCGTGGGGACCATCCCAGACATGCAGGTCTTAGATGCGGAGGGAAACCGTGTGGAGCACCCAACCCTGGACAGCATCGAGACAGCCTGCATAGGCTGGTTCACCATGGAGTACGTGCTGAGGCTCATCTCCTCTCCAAATAAACTCCACTTCGCCCTGTCATTCATGAACATTGTCGATGTACTAGCTATACTTCCTTTCTATGTCAGCCTCACCTTGACACATCTGGGAGCCAAGCTGATGGAGCTGAGCAATGTCCAGCAGGCAGTCCAGGCACTGCGCATCATGAGGGTCGCGAGGATTTTCAAGCTTGCACGGCACTCCTCGGGGCTCCAGACCTTGACCTATGCTCTGAAACGCAGCTTTAAGGAGCTGGGGCTGCTCCTCATGTACTTAGCTGTTGGGATCTTTGTCTTTTCTGCCCTGGGTTATACCATGGAGCAAAGTCACCCCGATACCTTATTTAAAAGCATCCCTCAGTCATTCTGGTGGGCAATCATCACCATGACCACGGTCGGGTATGGAGACATATACCCCAAAACAACTCTAGGAAAACTGAATGCTGCCATCAGTTTTCTTTGCGGAGTGATAGCGATTGCCCTTCCCATCCACCCTATCATTAACAACTTTGTCAGGTACTATAACAAACAGAGGGTTTTAGAAACGGCTGCCAAGCACGAGTTGGAGCTGATGGAGCTAAACTCAGCTGAGGGGAAAACTGCAAGCTCCAAGGGTGAACTCGGGGACCTTGCAAGTGAGGGCAAGGAGGGCCCTTTTTATAGCAGCCGGCTAAAAGTCTCCCACAGTGACACCTTTATTCATCTCCTGTCAGAAGAGAAACACTATAGGACCAGGCTTCAAAGCTGCAAATAAACTGTGAGCTGTTGTCGGCGCTAAGCCTATAGATGGGGACAACCTGACAAACAGCTTTGGAAAGGACACGAGGGATCTGTTGGTGCTGGGAGGGAGCACTGCTTTGCTTTTCCAACGTGAACACAAACTAACCCGTGCTACCTCCATCAGCAGTTGGTAAGACTTTGCTGTTATTATCCAAAGTAAAACCATAGGACTCCATTGAGATCAGACTGCGTATAATGATTGCATTCTGACAACAACCATTTGTAACCATTTTAAATACTGAAAAGTTCTTCCTGACCTGTAAATGTTTGATCTGAGTGTGCAGCATTGCCAATTCAGAGCTCTGTACCTGTAACAATAAAGAGCAACATCACACCGAGTGTGTCTTCCAGGCTGTGATCAGTGGCTTTGCAGCTAGGAAAATAGTTCTCAAAAATTAAAGCAATATTTCACTCATCATCGGTTCGGGTTTATAGCGAAACATTGCAAACACTTTCAGCCTAAAGATATTGAAAGCATGAGCATGTACCTTGTGCTGAATAACGCAGGCAATGAATGGTTTCATTTTTGTAATCTGTACCTTGGGGTTAACTTTCTGGATTTTTATCTGTTCCTCTTTCAGGAAAAAAATACTACTTTAAATAGCACCTGAAGCTATTTTTTGGGCAGTGATGCAACACAGAATCAAATGTATTTTAAGAAACAAATGAAATAGACATATGTTCTACCATAATTACAAGATTACGATTGATAGTTGCAGGTATCTTTCAAGAAGGCTTTATATTCCAGTAAGATTTACAAATGTAAGTCACATTGCAATGTTTTTACTGCACCACTAAAACAAGAGAGGATTAGTGAGAAGGAACCGCTCGATAAGAAAATTTAGCTCTTTGAAAGTAAGTGTAAGGGAAGTTTCAGAAAATGGTGTCATCTCCGAAGGCTTTCGGCTAGGACTGTCTATCTGAATGAGCATATTATCAGGTTATTAAGAAAAAAAAACCAACTCAGCCCATCCCATCCCTACAATAACTGCATGGTTTTGTGAATGTCAGTTTACAGAGGTAGTAGGCACTAATCAGTGCTTTATTCATTAATGAGCATATTGATCAACACCAGTGTGTAACTACCATCCTTCCCATAAGAAGGTGCTGTCTATGTGTGCATTCATTTGGCATAAATAAAGAGTGCAATACATGGCTCTCTACCAGAGAGATCCATTGAAATCAATCCACTGGAGTGATGCTAGCTTAAAGGGGAGGGGAGACCTGGGGTACAGACATGTTTATGTACACTGAAAGTAAGATTCATGCAGATTAAAGGATGATCCTTATTTGTTCCCTTTCATGTCAAGCAGCCCCTTTCCACCTTCAGGTGGAAAACAGCAGTGTGAGCCATGATCTGTCCCTGAGCAGCTTGTATCTGTGACCCTACGCAGACCCCTGGGACTCTTCTCCTGGTACTTGGGCATGTGATGGGGCTGTGGCAACAGGAGGGGTGCAGAGATGCAGGGTGGGCTCTGCACCCTCTCCTGGCACCATGCTGACCCCTGGGCTCTGGTGAAGGAGAAACTGTCTGCTGGCAGTGGCTGCTCTCTCCAGTGGCATCAAGCACAAAAGGGTGAGTGGCGACCCATGCAGGGGTGACATTGGCTGGTCCTTAGCATCCACCTGTAACACTCCTCTGGAGCAGTGGCAGAGTTGCAAGACCTTTTTCCTCCCATGACCCTGCTTTTAAACCATCTCTTCATCATGTCCTATCTTAAACACCCAACAATTCAAAGCAACCCTTTTTCTACCAGAATCCCTTCACCAGTTTTTTTCACCCCCTGGCTCTCACGAGAGGGGCACATCCTGCCCCTCATAGAATCATTACGTTTGGGAAGACCACTCGGATCATCTAGTCCAACCTCTGGGGTCCTCCAGGATACAGGTGTGGTTTGCAGCCACCAAAAGTCAGCTTGGATGGGATACTAAGTGTGAGAGACGAGTAAGAGGAAGGGAGTTGTGCCAGCCCTAGTGGTACACCTCACCTGTCATGGAGATATTAAATCTTCTTGACTTCCTTCTTGATGTGCAGAGGGTGGCTGAGAGTGAATTAAGTTAGCAAAAGTGCTTTTCTGAGTGAGGAAAGCACTATATAAATGCTAAGTGATATGTTTAGCACTGCAAGTACCAAATCTTCAACACTGTGCTTTGCCATTTATTTAATGTGACATTAATATATATATATATATATATAAATGAACCTCTCTTATCAGAAATAAATTTATTGCTGTATTTCCCAATTGAGTTATGCCTTTGAGCACCAGAGTCTGCTTAAGCCTGAGAAGAGCTTTGGGATGACCTTGATGCCTCTCATGCCCAGACAGCTCTCCAGCCAGGCTGCATGCACTGTATTGGTGGGTGTTGCTTGTGTAAGGGACATATTGGTAAGACATATACATATATTATATGTACATGAATGGACAGCACAGATCTCTACCGTTTGCCTAGCCCACGCTGCAGGAGGAGCCCTTGGGGAAATGAGGAGCCCTTGGGGAAATGCCACAGAGCATGCTGGCAGCACACAGGGGGTCTGTAGGTGAGCAGTGTCTCTTTCCTTTATTAGAAGTTAATCTAAAAAATAAGACTTAGCAGACCTAAGGGTTTGGGGAGGAGTAGGTGGGAACATCTGTGCAGCCCCCACGACCATCCAAAAGTTCTGGACTCCTAGGTGGACAAAGCAAACAGGCTATCCTTACTGTAAGGAACTGGGAGGGCTGGGGAGAAAATGTTAACTCTCCGAAGAAAACAGTGAACAGAAACATGGAAGAAATCAGAGCTCCTATAATTTTAGTTGCTGTCAGTCCCCTTCTTGTACAGAAGCTCCAGAGTAAAACCTTGAAGGGACTGCTTTTATCTCCTAACTAACACCAACCTCAGCTGTAAATCTGGGATTAGCTGCCAGCAGAATCTGATTCAATAGTCTTAACTTAATGAACTACGCTACAATAGGTTGGTGGCAATTGCTAAGGCTGTAGGTAAATTGAAGCCTATTCCCAGCTTTCTGGGCATCACACAGGATAGAGTTTAATGGAGTGGAAATGGCTTTCAGATGTGTGGGAGATGGCTGCAGTGATTAGTGACACACGGCATTAATTTCAGGGAGGTAATAGGCACAGAGCAACCAACATGTTAGCACGTCACAGCTAACAGGCCACCTTGGCTTTGGGGACACTCAGATAAAAAACATCTACAGGTAGGATTTTATTGCTGGGCTTTCAGTTTTAGCTGAATGTAACAGTGATGCAACCTCAGCAACCCTTAGGCAACTTTCTTTACACCTCATGTTCTCCTTGAATCTCTGTGGCCAAAAAAAAACTAAGAGGAAGAACCACAAAACCATTATATTTTCATTCTCTGATGTGCTAAGATAAATGGAGCAGAATTCTTTATGAGTTATGCTGCGCAGAAGTGCTTCCTCTGCCAACGTGGCCATCAGTGCTACATCCCCTGACAAACCCCAGTGTTTCCTGCCCACACTGCTACGTGCAGTTACTGGTGACGTGCAGATCTGTCTGCCTGTTCCATCCAATATTACTGGATTTTGCCTAAAAATGCTCATGATAGGGCAGGAGGTAATGCTCTCAAGAACCTCTAGGGAGGTTCAGGTTGGATATTAGGAGAAATTTCTTCTTAGGAAGAGTGGTCAGGTGCTGGAATGGGCTGCTCAGGGAGGCGTTCAAGAATCATGGAGATGTGGCATTGAGGTACATGGTCAGTGGGCATGGTGGGGATAGGCTGGAGATTGGGCTTGATGATCTTAGACATCTTTTCCAACCTCTATGATTCTGTGATTCTATGAATATCAGCATTTCTTTCCTCACCAGATTTCACATGGCATTTTACCTTTCAGACGAACAGTAATGTGAGGAATAATCTCTGTACTTCTGGGTGCAGATCAAACTTCATCAGAAGTTGCATCAATGTTATCCTTGAATGCTCGTAGACTCAGGGCAATGTGTATTTAATGCACTTGCTTTGGCTGTAGATATCCCTCTAAAACAGAAGTTGTTTTCTCTTCCTGCAATTAGCCGGATTAGGCCTGAATTCAGTAGGAGCTCTGCCTGCCCTAAGAGTGTAAGAGGGGGAATGATGCAGAGGAACGAACGAGGCTAATGCGCGAAGCATGCTCACATAAATTGCTAGGGGGAAAATGGAGATGATGGAAAGGTCTGAGAGCTCCAGGAGAAGCTGTGCCGTTTCATTGTTTCTTTTCTGTTGCTTTCGTATGTAGATGAAAAGCTGCCAATGCCTTAAAGCTGCCTTTTCTCTTACCCATGTAAGGGGAGCCTTGAAAATCTATTTAGTGTGCTGGAAGACAAGTACTGCTAAATCATCCTGGTCAGTTAAAGAGGTATAATAGGCACAGAAAGGAAGGCAAGTCTTGAAAGGAATCTAAGTAGAGGACTGTCTTTAAAGATTACATCCTAAAATGAAAAGGAAGACTGAATACTACATTGTATATGCCTACAGAAATAGTTATTTTCATTGCATTGCTCTCCTGACCTCAATGGAAAATTGGTTTAAGCATTAAATGTTGTGATTCCCTACATTGTAAAGAATTAACCTCTGCCCTCTAGTAGGTAGCACTGCAGATAAATGAATCTGTATTCTTCAGTCTGTGCCAGAGCTCACAATTCTGTGTTGGAGCTCATGGGATGGTGGAAAGTCAGATAACAGCTGCTGGAAGAAGGCAGCACATCGGGCAGTGCTGCAAACAGTTTCAGAAAGCGTTCTGGCAGCTGGCACCTGCTTGGCTATGCAGGAGGCAAACTGCAGCACCAGCTGCTGTAACAGCTTTATGGGGAAATTCTTTATCACTCAGATGCACTCCACTGATCCCAACCAAAGTTTCTGCTGTGATACAGTTACCAGCATTACAAAATCAGCTTTTTACATGCTTGCCAGCATAGTAATGTGTAAGGTGCAGCATTTTGACTCTATACCCAGAATATGAAGGAGGCGTTGGTCAATGTTGTTTATTTTTGCATTATTTTAACAGCAAAAATGTTGAACCACAAATTGTCATAGTCACATAAATAATGAATTCATTGCCATACGTTGATTTTTAACTTTTCACATCTCTGAAGTCTGAGCTTGTCTATTATCAGCAAGTGAAGGATTAACCCTTCTCTCTCAGTTTATACAGGACTAATTATCATTAAACACTACATGCCATTTTGGTTTCTTCCCCTGCTCCATCAAGATTACACCATAATTGGACAGCTTATCACTGTTATATATATATTTTTTCCTTTCAGCATCATTTTTTCTATTCTAATCTCAGTCTATCACTCCATTATTTTGTTTCAGACAGATGAAAGGCCCCGTCCC